GCTGTTGCAGTCCATATAGTCTGTCCATTCTGTGTTGGACAACGGGTTAAGGTGCCAGGTTCCGTTCTTTGTGCATGTTTTATATGCATAACCTGAAATGGCACAATAAAGAATTTGAGTTATTTAACTGTCAAGAATGAAATAAAATAAAAAATTAATCACACACACAGACATAACACTCACAGACACACACCTTTACACAAAACTCTCACAGACACAAAACTCATTGTAACAGAATGGGTCATAGCTTGTCTGTTACTAGGCACAAAGCTAGGATATAAGGAAATCAACAAGTTTTGGCACCCTTGACATTCCCTTTTTCCGGAATCTTATTTTCCCGCCAAAACAAGCTATTGACATCAAACTGATGTTGTCTGGCCTTGGCCTTCTTTCTAGAAGTTTTGAAATGCATTCTTTTCATCATGTGACCCAACCTTGTCGTACTAGTGAATACCTTGTTGACGTGCCCTATCAAAGCAAACACAATTGTCCTTGTTTTTCTAGAAGCTTCTATGACCTCAATTGTCAGTTTAACTACTATATCTGCGTAGAATAGGATGATGAAATCTGATGCAATCGAGATATAATTAGCAAATCCCATGTGAGAACGTACATAGTAAAGAAGTTTAGACGTACTAGAATATTCTAGAAGCGGACAAAGCGAGAAGAGAACCCATATCTAGCATTCCAGCATCCAAGTATAAATAGCGAGTAACAAAGCACTTTAGCAATTCTTCAGTCCACAAGACTCAAGAAAGGAGAGACCAGTCCTGGACTCTCAAGACAGCCTTCAGTGGTAGAGATGTAAGCCCAACACTAGAAGCCTTCAGTCGTTGAGACTCAGAGGACGAGCGACTAGTCTCAATGATCCTTGATGCCAGCTCAACACTGGAAGCAGAGCAGCCGTTCATATTGAACCTAGAAGACAGTCACTGGAGAGTAGACATGAAACGAGACATCGAGCTACAGAGACGACACACAAGATATACATGGATCCATGGTCAACAGAGACACATTAGGAACACTACAGAGATGTTAGAGTCGACGATCAAGCCGTTAGTACCAACAGTACTAGAAGCCAGGTGGCAGTTAGAGACACTAGAACCAGTTGAACAAAGTAACTAAAGAAGAAGAACACAACGCGAACCTACGAGTATTTAGCCATAGAGAACACAGCGCCATTCAGAATATTATTGATGTATTTGTGTCAATGCTAAAGTATCACAATAAAGACAGTACAGACAAGAAGAGTTGTTTCCAGCTGTTTTGTATACAAGCATCAGAGTCACATGAGAAGCATGCAGCAAGCAAGACATCATCATCATCACCACCACTATCGACACGACCATCTTTCTCCTCGTCTATAATCTTCCAATCGACTCCTCCTGTAGCAAACCTAAAGACGAACCTGGGTGTGACAACAATATATGCAACGAAGAAGACAGCTGTGCTACATCATATAGATATAGACAGACAGACATACAGCCAGACAGTCAGACCAACGGACCGACCTACTGATAGATAGATAGATAGATAGATAGATAGATAGATAGATAGATAGATAGATAGATAGATAGATAGATAGATAGATAGATAGATAGATAGATAGATAGATAGATAGATAGATAGATAGATAGATAGATAGATAGATAGATAGATGATAGATAGATAGATAGATAGATAGATAGATAGATAGATAGATAGATAGATAGATAGATATGATAGATAGATAGATAGATAGATAGATAGATAGATAGATAGATAGATAGATAGATAGATAGATGGTGATAGATAGATAGATAGATAGATAGATAGATAGATAGATAGATAGATAGATAGATAGATAGATAGATAGATAGATAGATAGATAGATAGATAGATAGATAGATAGATAGATAGATAGATAGATAGATAGATAGATAGATAGATAGATAGATAGATAGATAGATAGATAGATAGATAGATAGATAGATAGATAGATAGATAGATAGATAGATAGATAGATAGATAGATAGATAGATAGATAGATAGATAGATAGATAGATAGATAGATAGATAGATAGATAGATAGATAGATAGATAGATAGATAGATAGATAGATAGATAGATAGATAGATTGATAGATATATTAGATAGATACATAGATTAGATAGATAGATAGACCCACTCAGAGAAGGGGCTGCAATATTTACTGTCAGCATTTGCTGATGCATGCTGTGAATTCGGCCTAACAATCAACAACAAAAAAGACATGGGTTATGGTGGAAGGTAGTAAAGACAGACCCGCAGTCTACATTGATGGTGAAGACCTGGAGACGGTTGATCATTTTACCTATCTGGGAACAACGGCGAATAACAAACTATCGCTGGAACAAGAAATCAGCATCAGTTTAGATAAGGCAGAAACAACAATGAGCAAATTAACAACAGGAGTTTGGAAGAACAAAAAGCTAACGTATAAAGCAAAAACTATTGTCTATCAGGCTTGTGTTCTCATCGCTTATGCTTTATGGAAGTAAAACTTGTTCAACGTATTAGCACCAGGAGAGACGCAGGCGAGCATCAAGCCGCTGCCGATTTATATATATATATATATATATATATATATATATATATATATATATATATATATATATATATATATATATATATATATATATATATATATACATACATATTAGTTTCACTTCCTAGCGACGGTTGTAATTCTGTCTTCAGAAATTGTACTAATTCTGAGTGCACCAGAAACACAGAATATATTAGTCGATATACATAATTTAACTGTGTTAATTACACACATCTTCTTCCAAGGGTAGTTGTTTATACCCACTGATGGATGTTCCCATTCTGTCCCACGGTCATTGTCAACCCCAAGCTTTTGCTGTGCTCAATCACACAACGGTATATTTGTTTAAACACCCCAGCTACAGACATTATCTGATTAAGCGTTAAAGAATATGGATGTTAAGGGTCAGCGTATAGTTTCCTTGGCCGAACAAGCTTGCCAAAATGACGACTATAAATGCCCAGGCGGCAATGCATAACGTGGTATTAGAGTCCTTCTGGTATTATTTTTCTCCTCACCTAATTCCCTCACTGTGTAGCTATAATAATGTATGCAAATTTGACAATCGAGACGTAGTATCATGTGATCTTCATGCTTAAAGCTTTACAGTGTCGTTTTTAAACATACATAGGAAACGGGATCTCTGTCAAGAAGTGATTAAGCTGTCTACCTTGCGCAGCGAAAGCCGTGGTATCGGTTTTCGGTCACCAATCTTTGAATCGCGTGTGCATGTACTTCGAAAATCTCTAGGTGGCAAACGCCTTGTTAGGAGAAGTTAACTTGAAACATTACCGACAACTATTGCTAGAAGAAACAAGTGGAGGAAAATAAACATCACTACGGTTTAACCGTCGGCTCTGCGGCTAAGTCGATGAGAACGCTTCGTATTGCCGGGATGCCGGGTTCGATCCCAGCTGCTGGCCATGCGCCTTGCGTTGGTTTCGACAGAGGTTATCAGTAGGCCGAAAGTCCAGGAAGCAATGGCAAAATAATGGACGTAAATTTGCCTAGAGAAACCACACAACAGCCAGGGGCTGGGGTTGGTTCTGCAACGTCCTGTAAAGGATAGGCAACTAACCTTATGGTTTGACCACATGATCTGGGCAAGAAAAGAGTGCATACGGAAATAATTATTTGTGTGATGGCATGAGAAAGTAATCTATAACAGCCTACTTATATTCTGATATTTAGATCAACATCATAGCACATCTGGCATACCAATGGGTGCTCTGTCTGTCGCAGCAACTGTCTGAAAGTGCATATGCTAACTGTTCTCGTAGAACACTGAGTTTAAACTCGTCGTTCTCTTCCTCTTATCCGGCCTTTCTTGCCCGATCCAAATCTGATTCCTCGTTCACACATTTGTATACAAGTTATTTAATCTAACCCTGTGTCTTCTATCAGTGTTCGTTCAATACAAGTTTCAGAAGGCTCCTTTTCTCTAGCATGACTGTTCCTATAGTTATCGATTTTGAAGCCATAAATACCGCCCTTTCATGTCCTCACACTCTTTCATAACCTGGCCAGTATATCCAGATAACGTGAGTTCCTGTAATGCTGACATGATATTGCTTGATATCCTCTTGAATCACGCAGAATATATTTTACTTTATAAACATTACTATGACTTCCTGCGCATTGTGACATGGTGATAATGACGACGATGTCATTTTGAATCAAACTACCAATTCCCCCCTTCCCCACACCCCAACCCCCAATCCCGCCTTCTGCATAATATTCATATTGGATCACCCCTCCACAACCCCCCCAACCCCCCCCCCCCCACCTCTCCTAGCGGTACTCAATACTGACACTCTCTAAAGTTTATTTTGTTGTTAGAGCTACTGTAATTGACACTTGGTGCTGATATCTCGTGTTGTATATTCTAGCACGTCGGCCCTTGTAACGCTCCTAAAACATTCCGGACTGGCCCTAACTTAAACCTCCCTACGAGAGCCCTGCAACTTACGTCACACGCATTCTCTTTTTCGGAATGAAAACGTCAATGAAGACAACGGAGAAAGCTTTTCGAGCAAACAGTACACAGTGACACTCCCGTAACCTTCATCGAAGTTGACGAGGCTAAGGAAGTGTGTAAATTGGCGTAGAAAATGACCGTGAGGAGAACTCCTTAATATTTACCGTCACAAAGATTTCCATACACACCAGCATGCGCGCTCGCACTCACACACAAACAAACCATTATTTTTTCAGTCGTTGCTACCAGCACAGGTCTTTAGGCTAAACATTGCTGGTGTGGTCAAAACGAAAGCTCTAATGTCACTTTCTCCGAGGGCTAAACACTTTCTTGGATCTGACTTGTTAGCATGCCCAACAGACTAAGATATTTTTGTTAAAATCGTTTCAGTATGGTAGGTTAAACGGTTATGTAACAGCCAAGAGAGACACCTAATTACAAACGGAGATAGCATTG